AATCTCTTCTTAGTAATCACAAAGGAGATTGAACCGACAGTATGCTTCTTCATTTCACCATCCTGTCATTGTGCAAGATAATTTTCCTTGTCAATTTTCGCATTTCTTTTCCATTTCGCGGTATTCCAATAATTTACAAAATTATTCCAATTTACAAATTATCCCAATGCTCTGCCCATATCCAATGCGAGCCATGTTTTCTCCAATTAGTAAAATTATCAGACTGGCTTGTACGATTTGCTTTCTCGCAAGTATCATTCATCATATCTTTATATCTATCATTTATCGTAAACTTCCATGTGTCATACACATTAATAGTATTCGTAGTCGGCCATACATATTTATCATTTTATATAAATAAAAAATCAATTTATAGACCTCGTGAATATCAGAAATTAACAAATATAATAAATAATAATTACCATAAATCGATCCCATAAACCATCTCTTATGGGTTGTTGTATCGAGTAAAATATGGAGTATGGACCATCAAAATATACTTTCATAATTGCGGTGATATCACGCGGTACAAAAGTTTCGACTAGATGTATTTCCTTCTCTAGTCGCAGCATCATGTATGCCAAGTAAATTGATTTAAATTCGTTCAAACTGATTTAAAAGTATTGAAGTTTGTACTTACATTTGTATGTTATCAATGTTAGTTTTGTATATCCAAAGAACAATGTACTTGATAAACAATGTTCTGGCTATAAACAATGATTGTAGTCAATTACAAGTGTGAAGAGAAGCAATTTGTAGCCGAGGAAATCTCATGCATGGTTTTAATTAAGATGAAAGAAATTATACAGGCAGGAATGCTTTACAGATTTATGTTTACTATTTTAGTGTAAAAAAGCAACCTTCATTTCAAAAAGAGACAACCCCGGCCAGCCTTTCGAATTTTACCTCCACTAGTCTTATTCTTAAGTCGTTTTTCTACTTCTTTTATCAGTTATCTATGTTGATAGTACTTACGAAATACACTACGGTTTGCACTGAATTAGCTACAAGGCAAATTGTAGAATGACTCGTGGAATTATGTAATCTCTTATTTAAATTTTAATGTACGTGTAGTAAGATCCATTTCATTTTTCTCTATTGTTTATGGGTGATGATCATCCCTGTTAGAGGAAATAAAAGGAAAATGTTGAAATTTTGACTCATGGGTTTCTTCGGCGACTGAGGCATTTCCCCNGACTCATGGGTTTCTTCGGCGACTGAGGCATTTCCCCATGGGCAGTGCCAAATGTTGGACAAAAGAATCCCATGGCTGTGTCAATATTTTCTTTGACTACAATAAGATGGCCGGAATCTCTGTAAATGATGCATTTTAGACTGTGTTTGACCTGCCTTATTTTTCATGGAAAATGGAAAATAATTTCTTTTTCCACTCAAAATGACTTGCTTGATAGCTTTTTTTCTAGGGAAAATTTTTTCCACTCTACAACCTCACGTGCCTGATTTCTTGGTTTTGGAGGAAATGATTTTCCCACCTTTTTGGTGGGAATTTATTTTCCAGTTTTTTTTTTTATTTTATTGCAATGGAAACAAATGTCATAACCAATAGTAAAAAAAATTTCACTTTAATGGACAATTTCCGTATAAAACAAAGTCAAACGAATACTAAACTTTGATAAAAAATGATTTTTTAGGAAACAATTTTTTTTTCAATTTTTTTTTTGACTTTTTGGCGATGGAAACAAAATTTATAATCAATTGTGAAAAAAATTATCATTTTAATAGACAATTTTCATGTAAAACAAAATCAAACGAATAGAAAATTTAAAAAAATTTCGGATGGAAAATTATACCAATCAAACACACTTGAAATCATTTTCCCTGCAAAACATTTTCTAAGCAAATCTTTTTCCTCTAAAACATTTTCTTTCCACCAATTTTTCACTCTTGCAATCAAAGGCACCTTTAGTGTTCGCAATGAAAACAAAATTTATAATCAATTGAGGAAAAAATTATAACTTTAATGAACAATTTTGATGCAAACGAAGGCCAAATGAACACAAAATTTAAAAATTTTTCGGGTGAAAAATTATACCAATCACACACACTTAATTAACAATTCCCCGTAAAATATTTTCTAGACAATTATTTTCTCTGAAAATCATTTTCTTTCTACCAATTTTCCACACTTACAATCAAACGCACCCTTAGTATAAATCCCTTCTCTAGGAGTTTTTTCCACTTAAAGAATTTAAATTTATATATTTTTATTTAATTTTATGAAAATATATCAAAGAATTTAATGAAAATATTACATGACGAATTTCGAGTATATTTTTATTTAATTTTATATATATATCTATTTAAGTACATTTATATAAAATTAAATGTAGGATGTAAATGGGGGCGCTTTTTGAATGCATGATTGAATATCTAAACTCAAATTATTTTGAATATTTTAGTATAAATTTTTTATCACATCAATAAAATAACTTTTAGCCACACATTTTTCAATAAAATAATATTTTTCATCACATCAATAACTTTTTCATCTTTTTTAACCACATATTCTTGATCACATCGACAGTGAAAATGCATCATTTCAACGGGACTTAACCTTTCAAAGTTTCAATTTGAATATTTGTTACTATCATCAAAACCCACAAGACGATTCTACCTACGCCCGCATCAAAGATGTGGAAAAATCGTTGTGCTCTATCTCTTGCCTCGTCAAAATTTTTAAGAGTTCTTTATCCGCATAGGTTTTATTTTTCTAATATAGATTTGGAAATCCTCAACTAAACAAGCCAATAGATAACAAAAACGAAAAGACTTGCAAGGAAAAACAAAAATCAAGAGAAAATTATGCCTTGTTATCGACGCAAAGATAATGTATTTTATTTGTATCATCTTGCTATCATTTTTTTGGTTTATTTCATCAAACGTTTGTAAACCATTGGATCTTTCCACCTCTCCCTCTCTCTCTCATCCTGCATCAATGGCGACTCACAGAATCCATGGCCTGAACCTCTGCGGAGTTCTCTCCGAAACAAAGCGCATAATCGGTGCCCACTCTCGCCATTTCTTAGCACTCTCTGTACTTTTCCTTCTTCCCCTCTCTTTTTCCGCTGTCATCTACCCAACTCTTCAAACCGCTTTTTCGGAACCCAATTCCTCCGTTCTTTCTCACTTTCACCGATCCTTTTACTTCTTTCTTGATAATACGGTTTCAAATCCGCAAAACCCACATCTCTTCCTATTCCCGCTTGTGTACACTGTGTTCGTTTTTGTTTTCTCGCTATTAGCTACGGCTTCCGTCACTTACAGTGCTTTCCACGGGTTTTACGGTAGACCCGTTAAATTGGTTTCATCGCTGAAATCAGTTTTGTATTCGGTGCTACCCCTTTTTGTTACTTTTGTTGTTATTGATGTAATTGTGGGTTTGATTGTATTGGGTTTTGGGGTCTTTGTGGGTTTGGTGTATAAAGGGGTAAAGATTTTGGGGTTTGAAATTGACTACGAGTCGAATTACTTTCTGGGGTTTGCTGTTTTTGTCATGGTTTTGCTTGTGTCCGGTTTGATTTACTTGACGGTGGAGTGGTCATTGGCTTATGTGGTTGTGGTGGTGGAATCGAAATGGGGGTTTACACCGTTGAAAAGGAGTGCACGTTTAATAAAGGGAATGAGATGGGTCGCTCTAGCAATGATGATGTTGTTTGGGATCTTGATAGGGCTTTTTGCAATGGCTGCCTCGTCTTTGGTTCTGAATGCTGAATCAGTTCAAGGAGGGTGGCTTAGCTGGGCTTTTGTATTGCAGACAGTGGTGTACTCAGGTTTTATGACTATATTGATGCTTTACAGTGTTGCTGCACATACTGTGCTGTATATGTACTGTAAGGCCTTGCACGGGGAATTGGCATTTGATATTGCTGCGGAGTTTGCTCGCGAATACGTCAGCTTGCCTTTCGATGATGGGAAGGTTCCTCATGTTGTCTATGTTGTACCCAATTGATCAGCCTGAGGTTGGTAGCTTGAATACTGTCTGAATATTCACTTGACATCTGGTAGTCCTATCGTATTGTATCCATGTTTAATAGTATCTATGCTCTTGTGTATGATTATGTAGTACGAGAAATGTGGAATCTTAGACTCGTATATCCTTGAATACATGTAAAAGAAAATGAACCAGTGATGCTGTCCATTGCTTCTGAATGTGTATACTTTAGCTTTATTGTGCTTTATTTTAATGGAAAATAAATTACTCTCTTTGTATTAGATGGATAAATCAACTAGCCTTTTGCAGTTGGAATGTCTTGAACTCGTATAACTTCAGTTTAATTGAAATTTTATGGTGATCCTAATATAATTTTCTTACTATGCTGGTGAAATATTATATCAGATGCAAGGTATTCTTGATTTAAGTATTTTTGGTGAGCAGAGGTCCAATATATATTGTAGTGAAATAAGAATAAAATCAGCTTTGTCTTTAGGCGGTTGAATGAAATGGAGGTAATATCTCAACTGCATTCTATTCTGGTATCGGTGTGCCTAAGTTTATTTACTAGGAAAATATCAGTTTAACCATCCTTTCAGTTTGATTATAACTATCAAGAAAACAGAGATTATTAATGGTGAATTACATTACACTTGACCTGATTAGCTAACCTGCAGATGATCAAGTTGACAAGGACTATGTACTGAATTTTGAGGACTGGTTTATGGATTCGACCTTAAATTTTACAAGAATAGGGTTTACTTTGACAATGCTCAAGTCATTTCACTGCAAGCAGATGCTTTAAATTGAAAACGTGTGCCCTCAACAGGGGCAACATTTTTCTTTAGATTATTCTACTACCTGTTCTTCTGTGTTCGGTTTTCTGAATTGCCAACCATTATTTTTCAATTTAAGTCAAGCCTAAAGACGAAGCTAATCTTCCTCGGTAGAAATATAAATGCAACAAAATAGAGGGTAACCACAATTTTAGATGACCATTCCAGTAGCATCTTATCATCTACAAGGTCAAATCTGGACCTGAGAATTCAAGATAATGATGAGAAAACAATGAAACAAGTAAATCCATGCAAAGAAGGGACTTGTCTATTTACAGGACGAAGATTCATTTGATGATGCAGCAAAAATAGAATTATCGCAACTTTTCCCACACGCCCCTTTACAGGACTTATCAACATTTTCGAACCAAAAGTTTCTAAAAGCAATAAACAAAGCAATTGAACAGGGCAAATCAAGTGGCCGAGTCTATTTAAACTAGGACAACAAATGAAAAAATCTTAACAATTTGAAGGATGTTTCAAATTTTCCTGTAATTTGACAAGGAAGATGAAGATGATGGCATACTCTGTTTTGTGACTGTCCTGTCATGCTCTGAGGGAAACAGAAGGCTACTCCAGTTAGTCGATCTCTGAACAATTCTGGAGGGTATTTGGTCACTGTCTTCCCCACCCGATGGTTCATATCCATCACTAGTAGATCTCGAGAATGGGATTGCCTTTCGAAAAGCCATGCCAGAAGTTGACAGCCCAACAAATTGTCCTTCTTCGGCTCCTGATGAGGAGACACGGAAAGGGTGAATATCGGGTGAATCTAAGCTACTCTCCGGAGAAGAAGCAACAACATGAGCTGAGCTAGGCATAGCTCTGCTCGTTCGAAAAGCACTTCGAGCTTCTTGTTGAAGAGAGACCAAACCAGTTGATGTCTCAGGAATCACATTACCCCTATTGTTTTCTGCATTTTCCTTTGAAATCTTGAAGTGGGGATCAAATGGCATGTCAGTAGGAAGGCGAATCCGTTGGCTACCCCGTTTTCTATTATTATCAGGTCTGGGAGCCATTCGACGTCCACCACTGCCAAACCTACCGTCAGTTTCAAGGGAATGTGACCCATCACGTCTTGTTACGGGCTGCAGAATTTTCGACTTCTTTCTTGCCTCTGCAGCAGCCTTTGAAACCTCTTCTGCATTCAATCTTGCCAGTGTCCATGGACTGATCTTTACAGCTGCGGGATTCTTTTTCTTGGTCGTTTCCTCCATCACTGTCTTTCTCCCTAGTGAACTGACAGATACATTGTCTGGAGGCACTACATCAAACTGCAACATAACCAGTATTTTGCACAATATCAATAACAAGTGATGGATATTGGCAGTGGCGGATCCAAGAATCCAAATGAGAACCGGCGGTCGCTAGATAGCCGTTCAAGCGGCCGTCGAGTTGCCGCCCAATATGAGGAAAAAAATAATTTCCAGCAGAACTAGCACGGGCGGCACAGGGGCTCACCAAGTGCTAGCTCCGTCCCTAGATATTGGAACCTAACAACGGATTCAAGTGCCTTCAATTTTTCGCCTTCTAATAATTGTGAAACCAAACACAACATGGTGGCATATATTATACCTGATCTTCAACAAAAAAGCGTGGTGGTGTGCACCATGCAGCACGGTGGAAGGTGTTAAGGGAGCTTGCACTGCTTAAACCAGTAAGAGAGCTCCGGGGAGACATCTGAGGACTTTGCTGACCTGCGGCAGCTAGTTGCTCTTGTTCCCTCAAAGCTATAATATAGTCGTATGTGCTAATTCCCTGTCAACCGAACAAAGTATATATCACCCTCAAATTTACTTCAGTAGCATTCATTTTTTCCTTATCATTAACACGAAAACTTGATAGGAAAAGGAAAGTAAAGGCTAACCTTCTTTATGAGAAGAACGTGAAAGAAGAACAGCTGAATAAGCGGCAAGGTTGCAATCATAGCCAATATGGTGCATACTGCCTGTTATATGTAAGCTCATAAGTAAGACAATCGAAAAAATTGTAAAGAACTTCAATAAATTTGACCTTACAGAAATGAATCGCAAAGCATTTACAAAGCTCCCAAGTACGAAATGATAGAGTTGAAGTGACAACAATGTGATGGGAACTTACAGAATACTCACCACAACAATCACAAAGGGAACCACTGTAAAACTGCTTCCCAGCTTGGAGATGATGTCCACAGAGTATTTCTTTCTCTCGAGAAAACACCGTACGAGTACAAAGATTCCAGTCGACCATTGAATTATAAGCTGCAATCTCAAGTCATAGGTGCACAAACCACACACCTGTCAATAATCAATTAAATAAAAAGTAACTCGAACATGAAATAGTTACTTTTTGAGACAACTTTCAGGGTACACAGGTCCTCTTTGGGAAGAAAATTCGGTTACTAATATCATTTAATAAAGAAAGAATAATCTATATAGACAACGTTTAGGCCAAACCAGGAATTTGTCCCCAAAATATCTGGATTACAGAACACAATCACGATGAAACCGGGTTCAGAAAGTGGGAAAACAAGATAGGTAGCAGAATTCTTCTATTGGTTCAAGAGTTCAACTTGGTTAAATTACCGAGCTTCGTTACAGTAATCAGAATTAGGACTAGTGAAGAGAGTTAACAGATAAAGTATAGAATTCTAAGGGGAAAAAAAATGAAATCTGTAGAATCTGCAGGTTGTTGTCAAGGTCACAAGATAAGTAATAAAGGGGCGAGCATATACCAGGAGAAGGGCAGACACCATGAGTGTAAAGAATTTTCGATAATTCCTTCTTCCTATGCAATTGTTGAGCCACTGCAAAACCAGAATGAAGAAATTGTTTTAGTTATCACAACATGGTAAAGTTTCTTCAAACTTTAGATTGTGATGTACCCTGCAATGATGATCGAACCGATCAACACACTTGTCACAGACTCTGCAATGCTTGCTGTACTTGAAAACCTGCAAATGGGGGACAATTCTAGTCATATAGTTTTAAAATCCTGTTAAAGAAAAAGGGTTCAAATTTCCCCAAGTCGTATGCACTGATTTGTTTGGCCACACAATCAGGTCACAATTGTCAGGATATTTTACAAGAGATGATATTAAACGGGCACTCGTTGCTTCTTCAAATATGGTCGGGGATTGTAGGACAGTTGTGTGACAAATCTCACTTCGAATCCATTTGATTTCATATGTAAACTACCCACCTCTACTTCACACAAACTACAGTAGAACATGCCATCTTCGCTCATTTGTCGTTCGGAAGATTCTTCATCTAAGTTACATACATAAGCACAAGGTAACAAAGCAAGGATTGACATAAAGCAGGAGACTTGACGGGACGGCATGTTCTTCTTATCACTTTCAGAAGTACATTCAGCTCTTTTATCGATACTGATATTACTTTTATCGAAAGCGTTTTCTCCTGGTATGCCTGCACAGTCATCTTGTATTGAAGAAGTTGATTCTGCACCAAGTTTAGATTCGTTCAATCCGACATGCTTTTTGCTGTCGCAAATTCTAAGATATTTTTTGGACCTAAAGACTCCTGGATCTGCAGGATCAGCAGCAGCGCACCAAATGAACAGGCTGAAGACACATATGATCTGAGAAAAGATAACCATCCAATCATATATCTTGAAAAGAAACTAGGCGGATAAAGAGTCAAAAAAATGAAATTCATTTCTAGATAATTTGCAACTAATGGCCTTCCCAATCACTTTGTAATAAACAATATGCAGACATTAATTAAGCAGAATTGATAAATTGCCAGGACAATCCCTTATCAACAGTGGATTTTTAGGCAAAACAATAATCCCAAATTAAAAACATTATCAGTGCCAAGAGTTTTCAAAACAAGGGAAAAATCCAATATTCACAAGAATGACACTGAAATTCTCAAATGAGGAACTAGTGGCTCTAAGAAATGCCAAAAAAAAAAAGTTTGAAGGACAAAAAATGAACATTTCCTATGAAAAAGAAGAAGAAAATGTGAAATGGAAAAAAATATATAATGAACAGGAAATTATTTCAAGAAAAATTCAGAATCAGGGGACAAAAGTGAGTTCAATCAGAGAGAGAATACACTCTACAAGTGAAATCACAGGTCTCACATGACAAAGGCAAATAAATTTAAAAAGGGATGTAAATAATTCTTACAAGAGTTGTGTAAATCCCCATCACTATGTATTGAAACAATTGTTTTCCCACAAATGGAGCAAAGAAAACATAGAAGGAAAACCCCAATGCTAGAAATACAGCAGCAGCTACCACCTGCACATACACAGACTAAACTTTGGCTTGGAAATAAAAATATAAAATCAAGAAAAAATAAGCTTCAAGGTACAAAAATTAAGAAAACTCATGGGGGAGTGAAGAAGAGAAATATACCTGGAGAGGATGGTAAGGAAGCTGCCATCCATGTTTCCTCATTGTGATAAATTGAAGTTGCAATAAATGGAAAAAATTCAAGAAAATGTAGAAATGAAGTTGGTTTTACTTCCTCTTTCCACTATTCAAGCTAGTTTTCCCTCATTTTCAGGTAAGAAATTTACATTACCGCTTCATGTAGAATTTTGGTGTGTCTTATCAGTGGAAAAGAAAAAAAAATAGAAATCAATTCTAGCCCACCTATCCTCCACCAACCCCAAATTCACATACTGATGGTGAATAGACAGAAAGAACAGCAAAGGAATGGCCTTTGCCTTCGCATTTAGGGCGGAAATGGGATTAGGACAAATGGTTTTTTTCTTCTTGAAAAGCAAAGATCTGGGTAGGGATAGGGGTAATGTGGACTGTTTTTGAAGTCTATATTTACCTCCCGGCAACCAAACTTTCACCTTTTCCTTTTGTTTTCTAACATTGGCTTGTCAGCAGGACAGGATTATACAGCCAGTTGTACGAGTAATAAATTTCAACACGGATTTTGCTACTTTAATTTTCAAATCATGTTACATATACAATATCATATTTGATATCATAATATTCATTCATTTTAAAAATTTGTTTTCTACATCATATGCTAGAATTTTGATAACACATAATTGTCAATCAATATTGTACATTTAGATTTATTCTTAATTTTCATATTTAGCCTTTGTTTGATTCTTATTTTTTCAAAGAATATTTTTCTATAGTTATTTTCAACCATATATTTTTTAATAAAATAAAATTACACGCAAATTCAAAAAAAAATCTTAGTTTTTAACCACACATTTTTCGTCAATTTACTATTTCAAAATGTATTTTTAAACTTTTAATGGGGTCAAACAAGCTCCTATTTTTAACCATACGTAATAAAATATTTTGAACGTAAAATGAAAACTTTTTTCTACTTTTTAACTATACATTCTTCAAAGAATTATTATTCAAAGCTTCATTTTTAAAAAAATAATAATAATAACGATCATCAAATAAGGGCTGGATAAGTTCTCTCTCCCCATCCTCCTTTTGTATATCTCTCTTGATTTTAACATTTAGAGGATATGTTTTGTTAAGGGTGTATATCTCACATCTATTAAATTTTCCGTTTGACACTTGTTAATTTCTCATTCTCATTCATTTTTTCAACCACACATTTTACAAATAAATAATATTACACATAAATCAAAAAAAATTCATCACTTCTTCACCACACATTTTTACATCAATCACTATTCCAAAATTTCTTTTCTCCTCAAAATTATATTCAAGCGCAAGCATGTATTAAGGGCTTGTTTGGACTCTTTTTGGATATAAAGCCCATGTTTGGTACACATTAAAATTTTCATTCTCATTCTTCTACTCATTTTCAACTACACATTTTTCAATAAAATAATATTTTCCATCGCATCAATAACTTTTCCTTCTTTTTTAACCACAAATTATTCATCAATCTACTATTCCAGAATACATTCTTCCAAAATAATGTGGATCAAACACACCCAAAATGTATTTTGAAATAGTATATGGATGGGGAATGTATGATTACAAAAGAATGAAAAGTTTTTTAGGTTGCGTGTAATATTATTTTATTAAAAATATTTGGTTGAAAATAAGATAGAAAAAAATTTATTTTGAAAAAATTGGGATCAAACAAGGGAAAAACCTAGATTTTAGGTTAATTCAAACTTAACTAATCAATTTGACATCTTTATATACATCGTACTCGCTTCCTCACCCATTTAATAAAGAGAAATGCATTGGTGTACATCATTGGTGACAACCCCCTCACAAAGGGGTGGGGTCCGCAATTTTAAAAATCGCGGGACCCACCTCCTACGTTCTTAAAGAATCAAAATCAAATAACGACTTAATATACAATACATAGTCTTGTCAGATTCTCGTGTTTTTGTATTCGATCTTGCTACATTGATAAAATGTCATGTGAGATTTTGTTATTAGATTATTTTTAAAAATACTCAAATTTTGCACTCAATCATATGTTGTCGCACTGCATATGTCAAATGGATAGTCAAAATCATCTGACAAAATGGTTCAACTCTTTTGCAATTATTTGAGATTATCAAAGAATATTAATCATGTGCAATTCTAGCATGTGGCTTGTAAAAATGTAAAAGATCCCAAATGAAGGCAATTTGTATACACCGCCAGCTCTCGGAAAAAAACTGAGTATGCAACTCTTTTAGGTAAACAGTTCACCTTCACAATAGATTGTCCATTGCTAGTCGAAAAACCTTATGGCATGTGTCACACACACACACACACACACACAAAAAGTCAAATAAATTGTTAAAATATGAAAGTAAAAAGTTCTAGCATGTTGTTAAAAGTATTTTGCCCCTTTTTGGTTTGAATTGAAATCAAATTTTTAGTAAATTTTGATAAAAATTGATAAAAATATATGATTAAAAAGCTGATAAAAAATATAAGTCTCATGAAATGTGCGATTAAAAATAAACGAAACAAAGTCTTTGCATCTCAAACAAAAGACAAATTGAGTGACAAAGTTTATCACTTTTTTCAAATACGTGAGGAAAAAAAGTCAAAAAGAATTGAGGCCAAAGAATCAAAATCAAATAACGACTTAATATACAATACATAGTATGGTCAGATTCTCATATTTTTGTATGTAATCTTGCTACATTGACATAATATCATGTGATAATATGTTATTGAATTGTTTAAAAAATACTTAGTTTTTGCATTCAATCATCTGTTGTCAAAGAAATTGTTGAAATATGAAAGTAAAAAGTTCTAGTACATTGCTAAGAGTATTTTGCTCCTTTTTAGTTTGAATTGAAATCAGACTTTTAGTAAATTTTGATAAAAACAGATAAAATATATGATTAAAAAGTTGATAAAAAAATATAGGTCCCACACAATATATGATTGAAAATAAACGAAACAAGGTCTTTGTATCTCAAACAAAAGACAATTTGAGTGACAAAGTTTATCGCTTTTTTCAAATACGTGAGGAAAAAAGTCAAAAAGAATGAGGAAGAAGAATAGCTCATCATGAATGACAATTCTCTAATCATCAATGTCGGTAAATTATAAAATATCAAGAACCCATTATTTTTCTAGTGGTAAAGCTTTCACGTTTACGAGATAAAATCATACTTGACCATTTATTATGTTATATCTACATCATGGATAATTTTTATTTCAATCTCGCTTAACTTCAATTTTTTTCAATCAAATCAAAAATAAATTTAAAAATTTTAATAACTTTATTAATTATTTATATGAAACATTTGGTGGGGAAATATTATCCCCATTGTCTTGTCTCATTTGATGTTGACACGACCAAGTCTTGGTCGGTACCAAACATATGGTCTTTATGGCTCGAACCTTGTGTCATTTGTTCCTATTGATAACATCGGGCAACGGGTTAGAAATTCTCTTTAAAAAATTATTTTTTAATCTACCTAAAGTAACAATAAATGTTGAGGACTAAGTTAGAAAGTAAAAAGGTTGAGGACCAAGTTAGAAAATAAATTATCTAGAAAAATTAACACCTCAATACTCGAACAAGATTGTTTTCAAAATAAGTAATTAACAAAATTCTCTTTTATGAAATGTAAATTCTAACATCATTTTAGGATTGGTACGATGTGTATTAGTTTAAGATAAATCTAGGGTTTTTATTAATATTATGAAAAAAAAAATTGATTTTAAGTGCAAAATATTTTATCGCAAGCTGAAAATTAGCTTAAAAAAAAATTAAGGTTGTCAAATAGAAGCTTAATGTTTTCTAGTTTTATTTTTCCGTCTTTTTTCATTGAATAATATACAAAAAAATCACATTCATGTTCCGTAGTTATTTAATAGGAAAAATGATAGCTTTCGTGCAATAAAGACCTACTCACGTCCATATCAAAAGTTTATAGATCTACTAGTCGATAAGTTTTGATTAACAGTAAGTACTTCTGCCAAAAAATAATAACAATAACTCAAAACTNAGAAAAAAAAAAAAAAAAAAAAAAAAAAAAAAAAGTAAAAAGTAAAAATTTCGAGCAACACGTGACTTGAATCCGTATCCACTAGTTCACACTAGTAGCCAAAATCCAATCTCTAATATATGGCCATGCTAACTACTCTCATCCCGACCCCACCACATTCCATTCCACCCCTACCTCTAATTTCAATTTTTCTGCAAAAAAAAAAAGAACGAAAGAAAAAAGAAAAAAAAAAAACTTGGAAATACAATATTAAACTATACTTAAATATAATTTAAATTTTATTTTCTATTATATATGTAGAGAAGAACTTGAAAAAGAAAGAATTTTATTATAGTTAATTAAAGGTACTTACAAAGTGCTAAAAGTAGCATTTCAACAATATTTCACCCGTTCCGAGTTCGAATGAAGGAAAATGGTTGAGGCATGGGTAGGCTCTTATATTGTTGGCAAACTCAAGCATGGGTGGTTGCTCAAATTCGTGAATGCTACCACTAAGCCTCTGGTTGGTGATGCTCCTTGGGCAAAACTGTGTCGTGGTACTTTACATATTCAAATCAACCTATCATGATTTCAAGTTTGTGTTTGGATTAGATTCTCGAGGAAAGTGAACATCATTTCGACATCTTTCAGATTAGTGTGCGTTTGGGAAAAAGGGTCCTCGTGCCTGACCCTTATCGTTTCCATTGGGATGGAAGCAAAACATTTATCAATTTCATAGTTAGCAAAAGTGTTTTGGAAGATTTCAAAATCCAATTTCCTGCCCTAGTCACATTTTTGTGCCTTCCTCCCCATTGAAGGCAATTCTACCCTATCGAAAGCACATTGTTTGTGTAAAATTTTCAACAATTGTCTAGACATCGCAAATGTGAATATAATTACCCTAAAGACAATGGTAAAATTGTCTAATGAGGACACAAGTGCTATAAAATGAAAGATATGGAACCAAGGGCAACATGCCTCAAAGTTTGGGGACCTCTTATGCTACTTTCCCTATAATGTAATTACATTATCCCCCATCGGGGCCCAGTC